ATATATATTCTTATGGAAAGACCAACATAATGACAAAAAGCAAAATTCAAGCAAGTAAAGAAGACCTTATAATTCTTCATAGGAATGGAAACGGACACAATGCATTAGAGCAAATAAGTTGATGCCAGTTCACCTATACTCGTTCCTGCAATGTAGCCACCAGTCCAAGCATTCTGCAGAGATGGGCCACCAGGTTTGAACATGTTAGGGCTTGTCTGGCATCAATTTTTTTCATTTCTTTTTTTATTATTATTAAAAAAAAAAATAAAATAGTAAAATCTTAAAATGCCATTTCACAAAGTAACCCAAAACAATTGAATATTTTCACCAAAAAGAGGAATAGGTAAGACCAAATTGAATATTTTCTTCTCAGGCCAAAAATAAAGCTCCATAACTTCACAGGTGTTGCATCATAACCATATCATATGACTAAGCCCTCAAAACCATTAAAAAGATTTAGCAGTATATAAGGAATTATGGAGTAGAATCTAAATAAAATAAGATTGAAATGAAATAGAAAGAGATGATTGGTGATGTGATATAGGGAGTTGAAGAACCTCCACAGCTCAAGCAATGTACAGAACCAATCAACAGCAAGGAAGTACATGTTGAGACTTAAAAAGAATTGAAGTTATTGAGAAAGAGATTAGTATTTAGTGGTTGCATGTGACGCCACATGTTTCTTTAAAAAGGAATGGAAATAAAAGAAAGGAAAAGATGTACAAATTTCTGTCTTTAATTGAGAGTTAAAGAAAGGAAGAGAACTGCTATAATTAATTTGGCATATATAGCATGTTGGACAAAGTGCGAATTTGCAGGAGGTGGGTGGCCATCAAGCTACACTTCTAACCTACATCCTATCTTGGCGGGACAAGCAACAACCATTCATCCACAAAACAGAATTTCATGTCCTGGCCTGAGGTTTATAATGTAACGAGTGTGGAGTCTTATTGTAATAACCTGTTTAAGAAGAATGATGATGATGATGATGATGATGATGATATTATTAATATTAACATTAATAATTTAAAAAATCGGATTGACCAACTGAGATGACCATTGCTTTGGTTAGGCTTAAGAGTCGAACGTTTCCATTTGAACAGAACTACAGTAACGAGTTGAAACCAACAGCGAGAAGGAAGAGAGGAGCCTTGTAGGGTCACGTGTGCAACCTTAGTAGAGGCGGGAGAAAGGAGGAAGTTTTGAACCTTGTATGCGCAGCCCAAGCCGAGAGCTGTGTTGCTTTGTGCAAGGGAGGAAGACAGAAGAGGTCTCGCGAGCGAGTCATTGCTTTGAGTAGAAGGAGAGGACGAAGTCGAAGTTGAAGCAGACGGAAGGAAGATTACTGCTTGGGGGAATGATCTCATGTGCTTTGCTGGGTTGAGCCAACATTGAAGAAGGTAGGGCTTCCTGTGCGAGTGCTTGCGTGGGTAATCAATGTCAATGGAAGAAAAGGAGGTGGCAGCGTCGATTTCGTGGAAGGGAAGAGGAGCTCGTGGCCTACGTGTGGAATTTAAGCATGCGTCGTGCAAGATAAAGGAAGACCGAAATTTGTCATAACAGGTGAGTTATCTGATTTTTAGCTTTATTTATATAAATATAATATATTAAATATGTAATAATATTAATGTAAGAACTTATGAATTCAAAATAGATATTGTAAAATGTAGGTTATAGTGTGAAGAAGAGAGACAACTCGTGCGCGTGTGGTTAAGAGTAGCCGACCAAAATTGTTTTAAAGTAAGGGTAAGTTATGATTTCATATTTAATTAATTTGAAGAAATGTTAGAAATATAAATGTTAGCTTCTACTAAATTATAACAACACCCACTTTTACTTCGTAAGATTGGGAGGCAGAAATAATTGATTTTCATACATTAAGGATAAGGTAAAACTTTATAAGTTTTACACATTAATTTTATAAATTTTTTTAATTAAGTTTGTGTTAATTTCATATCAACAATTTTATAAATTAATTTTGGTGACTTTAATTTATCAAAAAGTTAAATTAAAGGATGATAGAGAGATCAAAATTTGTTTGTGCTACGTGGAATAAATGAAAAAGTTTTTAAGATGTCTCTTAAAAGTTATTGAGTTGTCACATCAGTTAAAATTGAGTAATTATAATTCCAAATTTAAGTAATTTTTATTATTTATAAAAGTGTTAGATTTCATTTATGTTTTATTTCAACGAGATTTAGATTATAGCAATTTTTTCAAGTTGATAGTCAAGAAAAATGCATGTTAGAATTGTTGTATAAATAGTTGCATTATAGTTTTCCTAAGCAAAAGTCGCTGCATTATAGTTTTTCCAAGAATGTCACTTTACTATATGACATGTAAATTCTAGTTTAGGTGTATAATTCAATTTATTTCATGACCTTTAATTTTAATAAGAGTGCAAATATTAATTAGTTGATAAATGTAAAGTCACTTATAAGACAAGAATGTATGTTATGAAGAATGACATAGTTTATAAATGAATGCTTGTATATGTATGTCTTATGATGCAAGAAGGAAGGTCAGTGTACACACGGGCGTAGATATTATACTACCACCCCAGACAATTATGATATTTAGATTGTTAACTGTTGTGCCGACGAGAAAATATTGGTCAAGAGCGAGTAAATATCTTTTCACCTCGGAAAATCGAGTAAATTAGATCACGAATAGTTGTGCCAATAGAATAATATCGGTCAGAGGTATGTTAGGTTATATTTTGACAGTGCTTTTAAAATAAGACTGACATGAATATTAAGGCTATAAAGTAAAAAAATTAAAATTAATGCATATAAAAGTATAAGTTATTTTCAGGAAATGACATGGATAAATGCATTAGATTGTTATTAGATTTTTATAGAAATATGAAAGATTGGTATACTTATTGTTTTCCTTTTCCTGGGGCTATTGTAGCTTAGAATGTCATTGCCCTTGGGTTATCTTTAGATAATTCATTATTTAATTTTAATATTTTTACAGGTTTAAAATTTTGATGAAGATGAAAACTGGAGAAGATGATGTTTACAAAAGGCATGGGTAGTAACCTAAAAGGTAAATTTTTATTCGATCAATTAAATTGTTTCTTTTAGTGACTCTTTCAATTAATATGTGTTCAATTAATAGTTTAAAAGTAAACTATTAGTGATAGAATTAGAATAAAATAAAACTAGTTTTCACTGTCTGACCGTTTGTTCTCGTCTAAATAAATTCTAAGAACCAAGTCGGATCGTGATGCTTAATTTTTAAAGTTGTGGTGCAGGAGTTTATGTTTGCTCAAATTTGACTTCAAGCTGATCAACCTCCGATTGAGATGTGCGTATAATCTACCGAAACTCACTAAGGCCTTGTTTGACATGAATTTTTTTTGTTTTTATCATTGTTTATTCTTTTGTTCCTAAAAAAAGTTTGTTTAATATTTTTTTAAATATTTTAATTATTGATTTCTAAAAACAAATTAACATTTTTTTAAAACACTCTAAATAATTTCTAAATATTTTAAGTGTTTTTAAAAACAATCAAATCTTAAGCATCCCAAACGTACCCTAAAATTTCTCTGTCAAGACTTGATGCAACTTGGTTGCTACAACCATATCGACTGCTATTTTCTTTCAGGAATATTTTGTTGAGTAGCTCCGTGGAATTCTACTATTTTCCACAACATGAGTATATTACGATTAGGCAAATCAAAATAGGAGAACATTTTGTGGATTGTGTGGAGGGGCATCCAGTCAATAAGACCTAACGGGAGAGCTAAACAAAGAAAATTAGACAAACACAGATTCATATACAAAAAAAAAAAAAAAAGCAAAAATCTCACGAATTGCTCCCTGAGCATCAATCAACAATGGCTAAATTGATCAAATGACGGATAGCTAGGAGACAATTTTTTGAGATCTTTATTATAAATATTTTTTTTTCTTTATATGCAGTTTTATAGATAAATACTCGTTGAAAGTAATAATCCATACTTTCCTAATCATTTCTTCTTCTTTTCAAATTGGAAGTGAAACCATTGCAAGATGATGAAATTGTGAGTGATGAGAAAAGTGGGCTCCGAAAATTCGACACCCCGGACCCCCTTGTTGATGAGAGTTAGTGAAAGAATAAGAATTGCAGAGGTCTTGTGAGGTAAAGATGAGTAATTATTTTTTATGCATTAAATTAAGATTTTATTAATAAAATAATTACTTTATTAAATAGTTTAAAATAATTATTTCATTCATATCTTGCAATTTGAAAGTTCAAAATGTGCATCACAAATGGGATGAAAATAATGAAAATATGAAAGTTTGTTTTAAAGGATTTTAAATTAATATGAAATGAAATGCAAAGGTTAAATCATACAAATCAAAACATACGGCTAACAAATAGCTAAACCAATTAGAAGTTTTTAATAATGACTAGAACATGTGGATGATACAACTTTTTTTTAAACAAAAAATTCAGACTTAATCAATTTTTTTTAAGCTTTCAATTACTTCAATAAAATGAGGAGCTGAGGAGTTGGCGATCACTACCTGAAAGTTGAAACCACCAGTAATTCCATCAACATTTAAAACCTGCAATTAACTTGTATCAGTGTCAATTAAGCATTTCAAAAAGATACTTAAGTAAAGCATTTCTAATCACCTCTCCTGCAAAAAATAGGTTTTTCCATATCCTGCTTTCCATATTGCTAAGAGTGATCTTCATCAAAACAAGAAAAACATACTCTGTCAAAACGAGCAAAAAAAAATTGCTTTGCTAAAAGAAAGATAAGGATTCCAACCTCTGAGAGTGGAACACCTCCAGAAGTAACAAATTCCTCTTTAAATTGACCCTTCAAAAAGTTAAATAGAATATAGAAAAAGCAGTGAAAGTTATGAAATCCACAGTACATGCTCATGCATCATTATTAAATTAGATTAAAAACAACTTAACCGAGTAAAACCTTTCCAATCACTTTGAATGAGCATTGCTTCAGCAGAAGTGCTATTGAATTTAAACTTTTATTTGCTAAGCTAGCCCAAGGCTCATCACCATCTAATCCCTGCAAAGTTACATAAATGTAGTTTATAAATATTTTTAAAATTTGATGCAAAGATTGTAACTAATGCTTTATCAGGTCGTATGACCTCACGATCAAGCAGATATCCCCAAAATCTTTTTACCAAGCCGAACTTAGAGGGAAATGAATTGCTCAGCTTCTGCTTCTGCAATGGTCCTGACAAGCCATTACTATATGTTGTACTATATAGCACAAAGAAGCATGATAAATGTGCTTTGAAGATAAAATCTTACCATAATTTCAATTACATAAAAAGATAATAATAACAAAATAATAATAGTAATAAATTACATAAATCTGACGTGGATGAAATAAAAATCACCCAAGGAAGGTTCGGAGATAATTGTTAAAAACATATAACATGAACAATGTATTCCCATTCAAAACAGTTCTCTACATATTAGTTGCATTCCGGCTGGAACCAAATAAAACTTAAAACTTTGGTACTATTATTTATTTAAATTTGTTAAAAAATTTTTTGACATGACCATTCAACTGGGATTTTTTTTTTCCTTTTTGTTATTATCTTTTGCAGAAGAGAGAGATCTGCAGTGGGAACATTTTAATGGGCGGCTATGGAAATCCTGAGTTATGCAATTAATAGACCTCGAGGAGATTGGGCTATGCCATAATTAATGACATAATCTTGATCAACCTATGTCAGTGGCGTTTAAAAAAAGGAGAAAGATGAATAAGAAAAGGAAATTTCTCGCTTATGTTTGATGAAAGAAGCTTGCTTGCCTTTGTGGGCTCAAAAAATTCAAACGGCTCCCAAAATTCTCAACATTTCTTTTTAATTTTGTTTTGTTTTGAGAGAGTTTTAGAGGGTTAAATTTTCAGAAAGCAGATTAGATTGTAGATACAACACTAACCAGAGATTTCAGCCTCATTTTGCGAGGACTTTTTGATATGGAGTTCAGGGTTTCCCATAGGCGCAAGCCCTTATGATTAATTACCTCTTCTGATAATAGGAGAGATATGGATGAACGGCTCTGAACGAGCTAGGGCAGACGGCTTCAGTGCAAGATAGGAGTTCGGCGAGACTGATGAAGGACAGAAGCAAGGGGTTTCGACACAGGGAGGGGCGATGTGGATGAATGAAGAAGACAGGTACAGGTTAGACTTAGAATAAGAGGAAGAAGGCGAAGTGGAGGGGGAACAGTGGGTCGGTTGCGCGTGATTCCCGCAACAAAGGGATTCTGTCATGGCTTTCCTCACATCCTCCGGTCGCGATGGCAAAGGGGTTTTCAAGCACTATGAATATGAGGCTTCTCGAATAGCCAAATAGAGGAGAGAGTTTCTTCTCCCGCTCTCTTGTGTTTCCCTCTTTGAAATTTCTATCGTGGGTAGACTAAGGGTGCGTTCAGGGGCAACTTGTGTTTATCGAGACAAGCAGCTTATCCTGAAATGCGGTCTGCAGGGTTCGACCCGCGGCCTGCGTTTAGTGTAAAAATCCAACCGCATTTTCTAATAAGCTGCCGAAACGTGATTTCCAAACGATGAAGCGACATTTTGAAAATGTCACTCACACTTATAAGCTGCCTCAAACAGGACCTAAGAGGATGATAGGAGATAGTCCGAACAGTTGCGAGATTTTTACTGAGGGAGGGAGTAGGAAGGGTTTACTTATTTTAATTAATTTATTTATTTTAATTTTTTAAATAGTCAACAAATGTTGCCCAACAAATATGGTATGTGTCTAAAGCAGACCTTGTTTGTAAAAACTGATCAACTATGTGGTTCTCAAAAATTTTTTTGTATGTCACGTTGAGGGTTTCACTTTGCTGGTCTCCGAAAATGCTAACTAGATTCCAATGCAAAGTATAATTTCAAGCTAAATATGCAAGCTTATAGTGTAATAGACCAATTTTGATTGACATCGCCTCTTACCTGTTGTCGCTTATATTTGGCGCAAAGATTGAACTTGTCCTTTGCGCTTTAATTTTACTCTTTTGACAAGCCCGGTGAAAAAATTAACCTGAATTGTCTCTATAATTGTGAGGAAGATGAGCATATTCTTAACATTGAGCTTTGTGCCTTGACAGACTTGATGAAAGAATTGGCATGAGTTGTATCTACATACTTGTAAGATGGCTGGGCATACATTCAATCCCAGCTTTATGCTTTGACAGACTTATTGAAGGAATTGACCTAAATTGTCTCTATGGACTTATCAGGTAAGCGAACATACATTTGGTTACAGCTTTGTGCTTTGGCAGGCTTATTGAAGGAATTGAACTGAATTACCTCCGCGGACTTGTCAAGTGAATAAGCATACCTTCGGTTCTAGCTTTGTGCTTTGACGGACTTGCTGAAAGAATTGACTTGAATTGTCTCTACGGATTTGTCAAGTGAGTGATTATACATTCGGTCCTAGCAATATACTATTGTGAACTTTTTGAATGATGCATGCCAATGACCTAGCCTTCAGGCTTATGTCGAGTCAGTGGCAAGAAATCACCAATCCTATATTGTATTTTATCGAACTTATTGATGATTGAATTTTCTTAGTTCAGCATCGAGATTTGAATGAACTTATGGGATAACTTCTTCGAGTTTGTTTTCTTCTTTTGTTAGACTTATTGAAGAATAGAATTCTTTGGTCTGTGTCCTATGCTTGATTAGACATTATTGAAAACAAAGTTGGGCTTTCTTTATATGAACAAGACATCAAGCTCGACTTAATTCTTTCCTGAGCGATGACCATTCTTTTAATTTTTCTTGACCTTTAGATTAATCAAGAAAATCTCTTTATCAAGTCGAATGGACTTGAAGCTTGACCATCTTTGTAATCCGACTAGCAAAACAGGGGCTTCTTCACTACGGCCGTCTTTATGGCTTGTTGAGTAAAGAGAGTTGTCAGTGAATCAGTCATATTTAGGCTTGTTGAGTCCGATCTTTAGGACCTTCTTTAGTCATAGACTTAGACTACAGAGAGTTGTGCTTCTACAACTTAATAGGCTTAAACATATAGACTTGGGAGTCTCCTTTCTTCTATCATAAGGTATTGGAACTTGTATAATTGAGAATGTTTTAGCTTGACTGCAACGCTATTCCTGAGTGTAGATTATCTCTTTGGTTTTGTTTTAATCTGTCAATCTATTGAGAATGTCTCCTAGATCTGGATCACTTGAATTTGTTAAATTGGATAGGTTTGGGAACTAAACAACTCCTATCATCAGAGTAACAAGATGGGGCTCTCCTACTGCGACTGTTTCTATGGATTGTTGAGTAAGAAGAGTTTTCTCCTTCACTAAGACCATTTTTATGGCTTGATGAGTGAAGAGAATTATCAGCAACTCCGCCATATTTGAACTACTTAAGTCCGATTTTTTAACCCACTTGTGTCATAGTGAGCTGTGATAGAGCTTATATATTTCAAACTGAACACATTAAAGCTTGCAAACCTTATCAAAGCTTGAATGGCTTCGGATGGGGAGAAGGAAGTGAGCAGCTTAAACGGGCTAGGGCAAAACAGAGCAACTTTCATATTCGGCAGAGTGAGATCGATTTTCGAGGGAAGCATGATAACAGGGAGGACCTGTTCAGACTTTAGAGAAGAGGACCATGTGGGTTAGAAGGTGCGACAGAGAAGAACGTGGGACCGAAAGTGCAACAAGGAGGATTGGTGCAAGACAAGGATGATCGGCTCTGGCGTGTGGGCTAGGGCAAGGGACTACGGTGCAGGGAGAGGCGACATGCGTGAACAAAGAAGATAACTAAGGATCGACTTAGAATAGGAGGAAGAAGGCGAAGTGAAGGGGAACAGTGGGTCAGTTGCGCGTGATGCCTGCAATATAGGGAGTGTCATGGCTTTCCTCGCTATCTCCAGTTGCGAGTGTATCGTGAGGTGACGAACGCACCTACATTGCGAATCGAAGGCTTCTCAAACAGTCGAAAAAAAAGGGGAGTTTCTTGTCCCGCTCGCTTGTGGTTTCCCCTTTGAAATTTATGTCGTGGGTAGATAAAGAGGAAGAGAGGAGACTAGCGCGAACAGTTAAGAGAGTTTTGCTGGGGCAGGAGTAGGTAGGGTTTTATTTATTATTTATTTATTTTAATTTTTGTAATGGTCAACAGGCTTCATCTCCCAGCCGCATATATCGACCCCCCATACATCAATCTTCCTTTACAATAGCAACACGATGCAATTTTTGGTTTGCACTACTGTTGTGGTATCCCTAGGTCTATGTGAAAAGTTCTAAATATATAAATGTTGAAGGACAAAAATAAAGAAACTCAACGGTTGGCCATTCAAAAGATAAACAACCATAAGTCCAATCTCCTGCAAAATCTAAAGAGAACTAGATTATTAACATTTTATGGGGGGCAGAGCGAGACGAATCAATCCAAGATCTAGGACACCATCAAGCTACTTGAACTAAGGACTAGTGCACTATATATCTCTTCACATGTAATATTCATAGACTCTTCAATCTATTAACTTTTTACTCTTGTTCTATGGGAAAATCCTTTTCATAAGACTGAGCATTCCACATTGCAAGCTTGCACTAATGTGTTTGCCCCCCTGCTCAGATTTAGAACTTTCTTTGCTTTGATGATTGCTTTTGCATTGAGGTATTTAATTTTTGCTAACATTTAAAGATATAAAATGATATATCTTGATCTTATTGCATCTTTATTAAGGATGTGATTTTTTATATTGTTAAGCTTCATAGAGGTTGATCCATAAGAATAACTAACAACAATCACAACATCATCCTAGCTTTTCAGTAGCAAGAGAATATAACATAAAACATGGATCTCATTGTCAAACTAGATGTTCACAGACTTCAATAGACTCACGATTAAGTTAAACTCATTCATGTGCTAGGTAACCAAAGTTCCAAAAATATCCTAATATTAAAAAACTTGTGTATTATGCGTATCTAATTAACTAAAGGCTTTTTGTACAAGATGAGAAGCGCTTTTATTACACTTGTTACAATTTCCTCATTATGTATTTTAAAGGTAACAATCATAGCCATGGACAAAAAGATAGCCCCCAACACTTTTTGTCCATCAACTTTCACTCCACACAATCAATAGATTGTGGTTTCATTTTTTTTTAGTGATTGATGGAGCTTTTAATGATATAGTTTCTATTTGTAACTTTCACAGCCTAAAGTTTTATCCATTAAACTTATTGATCTTGATCCTCTTATCCTTCTTACTCCAATATGAAAGTTTTCTTAACCAAAGCTCCGATACCAATAATTGAAAGAAGTTCATGTCTGAGTAATAATACTAAATCAAACCAATTGAATAAAATACAACCTGCAAGAAAATACAGTTGAATAAGAAGAGAAGAATTTACAAGACTTGATAAGAGATATCTACATCCATTGCCGCATAGAGAGATATTATTTCCACTAATATCTGAAACAATTGTAATGATTACAACATTTCACCCTAATATTTTTCCCTTAATTTATCTCGCTAGTAAATCCCTCTAACTCAATCTAAATCCCTAGTTCTCTTGTCAGCACGAAAACCACAACTTGACTAGCAATAACATTAATCCACAAGTGTTGTCCACATTTCATCCATAGATGATCCACACAAACAAACAAATCCAGTGTTCAACCACAACTAGAGTCATTAGTAACTGACTCCAAGCCCGAACTCCTTAACAAAGTTCAAGGGATTCTGCTGGAAAATATTAAACTCCACACATCCTAACAACAGCCCGCTAGTCCCCCCCAAAAATTTCAGTATTTTTGCAGTAAGTTACAACGTCATATTACAATGAATCTCCAGACTCAAAGAGCCTCTATTGTGATTTAGGATCCCTTTTAAAATCCTTCACCCAATTTCAACAGCAAAATGAAAGGGAAGTCCGGCAAAATGAAAGGGAAGTCCGGCTATAATATTTTATGAGAAGACATCAGAGGTCAGACTGTAGCAAAAACAGTGCAGTTGTTAGATAATGCGGCTAACTCAAGAGAAATTACGTACATACCACACAGTTCTTATGTATTTACATATCTAACACCAAAAGTTTCAAATTCACATTTATAACACCATGATGCTATAGACCTTACATAAAAATGGTGCATTAGAGTTTCATAAAGTTAGTAGAATGGTAATTTTGATGTGATATTAAAAATATAGGTGTTGTGAATATAAATATTAAAGTTTAGGGGTTATATATGTAAATAAATAAGAATTGTGCGGTATTTATGTAAATGCCGCTTCATTCAAAGGCACAGGGCATGGGCATTCTCCCTGTAGCTTCAGATCATAAAGTTTTAGATTCAGGATCAAATGAACGATAAAAACCAATAGATGCATAAATATAAAGATGAGTCATAATTTAATTATTAAATAATGTCTTAAAAAAGGGAATCAAACATAATTCATCAAGAAAGATGCAGCTTTACAATTACTGAAAAGTGTTAAGTGGACGAAAACTCACAGCCATATGCTCTCTATGTTGGGAAAGAATGAGTTTTAGATCTTCTACATTTATTTCAGGTATAAAATCTATGTAAACAAAACCTGCATAAATATTCAGGAAAACCAAAGTTTAAATAGGTGATAATTAGTATAGCATGAGATAAAATGCAGAATGAAAAGGAGGAGGAAAAGAATTGTTTATATTGTCATCGGCAATATAAAAGATAAAGGATGCCCTGACAATGCAGCTAAAATTACTTGCATCTCTGCGTTATTCCACTAACAATACTAAAGAAGATAATTTATAGATTTTATCACAATAGTGAACAGAATAAATCTGAAATTAAACCCTATGTTTATTATTTCAAACTAAACATGAGAATCAACCTCACGTATAAAGTTATACCAATTTATCAAACATGCAACCTGCAGCTAAACAACTAGGCTAGCTATTGAAATCAATTTTCAGCAGCTTGAATGAAGGCTGCATTATCTTCATTAAACAGTGTTATGTTGATTTTTGGACTTTTTTTCTTAATTTAAGATCTTTCCTCACATCCCAAGATGTTGGTATCAAATCGGCTCAGACTGTTACAAGTTCTGCAATTTTTTTTTTTTTTTCATCATTTATGAATTTATTTTTTTGAATTTATTTTTTTGCTCTAAAAAAACCATCTAAATCTCAGCTTACTTCCTAATAATTAGCAAATATGTTACCTAATATTCCTCGACAGCTCTACCACCGGAAATCTATAAAAGCAGCAAAGGTTCCCTTAGCTCAATTAAGTCTTCTCCTTTCTGGAAATAACAACAAAGACCATAAGCAGATCTTATAGAAGGTTCCAGTAAAGAAACTTAAGGAAGTCAAAGGCTAAGATATTTGGTAGCTCAGATAATTTCTTTTAAGTGCCTCAAATGGAGAACCACCAATTGGCTGCGCCTTTCTTAACTAATGAGATTGTTTCAAAGAATAAAAAGACTGTAAGCTGTAAAAGGTTGGTGAGAGCAATAAAGGTGATCAAACAAGAGGATGTAGCAAAAACTGCATAGTGCAGTTGTCAAACTTTGGACTATAAAAACCCTCATCCAACTCTGTTGATTATATTTGAATTGGCATGCTAGTTTATTTTTCAGAAGACTGATTAGACAATTTTAAAAAAATGCATTATTTTACCCACTAGCAAAGCATTCACGATCTAGTTCGTGATTTCTCAAAAGTGATAGCCCCCTATTGTTAATTCCCTTTCAGTTGTGAAAGAGAATTTACAATTAAGACTAGTATATAAGCTCTAAAATCATTTGCTTCTAATAACAACAATTTGGATTGGATGAAGGAAATATATAATGCAATGAGTAAAAGCATGTTTTGAAGCACGCTTCGCTTTGCTTGCGAAGCGAATCATGTGATGCTTGTTTCGGTTTGCTGAAACGCACATCGAAGTGCTAAATTTTTCTTTATATCTTTTAAGGTTTGAATAATGCAACAAACTTAGTCATTGGAAAAGATTCAGGCTTAGACTATAACCATAATATAATAACACTCTCAATCAAGCTAACCACGAAATGATAATCAACATAACAAGTTCTGACTGATGTGATTTTTTTTTTCTGGGGTTTTGATCATATGGATACATTTGGCATGACATTGACTTCTTATTTGTTTTAGTCAAAACTTAAATTTATCAATATTAATTAATTAGTGTGGAAAATGAATGAATAACTTAATCAAGCTTTAAGAGAACAATTATTACTTAAACGATTTTTCTCTTGTTTTATATATAGTTTTGTTAGGTGAAGTGATCGGGTTGTGGCCTATTGGCATGGTGCTATTTCAGCATTTGTACCGACAAGTAATACAATAGGCATGATTCATGAATTGATCAAGAATCTTCCCCTGAGGATGTTATCCCCAATCTAAGACTTGTCAATTTCGAAAATTAATAGCATTTCTTTGAAAAACATGACAATTGTAAACTTAGAAAAAACCGCCTTCAAGTATTCTTCATTGAAATATGGCAACAGTCAACAAGAATGCACATCAAATTGAGCCAACATGTTATATATCATTGACTCTCATTTATTGTCGGAAAAGTTTTGAATAGTTAGGTCTATTTCAACCAATGCTTCCAATGTAGTTAAACAAATCACATCAATGGCATAGAAGCCAATGATTGTACAAATGATGTCATACAAGGAATTGTCTAATTGTAGTCGTGTCAGCTTGAAAGAACTACCAACCTAAAATGGAGTGAAAACCTAGCAACGATAGATGTCGACAGAGTATCCCATAGCTCATTTTTCCTTCAAAGAAAAATTTCTCAGTAAAAGTGTAACGCCATAAAATGGCCGTCAGTAAGTTTACAATATGAGCCATGAGAGGAGATGAAGTCAGAAGTAGCAAAAAAAGAAGCAATGAGAATGAGCTTTAGGTCTGAATTAAACCTAGGAAAAAGAGTACATCAGAAAGAGATTCTACAGGCTTAACTTAGAGAATAAAACTTGATAGGTAAAGAGCCACGCATTTGCATTTGAAGAGATGGAGAAGCACACATCTGAGATTTGTAGCCTACGTCTATGATGCATAGAGAGAAACTCATGTACTATAAATAATACAAATGGAGTTCATCCCATTCTGCCAGCTTCAAAGGCTATGTGTCGAGTAGAACGGCCAACGAATTGATTCCTATAGCACATTCTTATAGTATTGATTTTTTACCCACTTTCCTTGAACAAGAAATGGTCAGCTACTCTCACAACACATGAGAAACGTGCCTCAAAAGCTGTTGAGGAGATCTGTTGTAGGGACGAGGGATCTGATGAACCATCGGCTTGAGAACCAACAAGGCATAGCTGAGATATCGGGTGTTCAGAGGCCGATGGAGTTTCCATCCAAGCAAAAATCAAGGAAGATCTTGGTGCTGATGTGTTGGCAGTTTAATTGGTGAAATGACATAAATTCAAATAATTTTCAGATTCAAGGAAGGCATCAGATGTTTCATATATCACCTGAGGGATCATCATAACCCAAAAACTATGAAATGAAAATATATATATATATATATAAGTAAATCAAAATAAGACAAAGATTAGATCATTAACTCGCTCATCTCAACAAACAATTTGTGTTTCTGACAAGTGTAAACTTTCAGATTTCAATATAATAGAAATAATGAGCAAAAGAGGAAAATAATTCATCTCCTTCTCAAAAGAGTAAAACCAACCTGTAACAAAGCTTTTTAATGATCCTAAAGCATACTTTGATCTAAAGAAGAAGTCTACATTTGGCACCGAATACAGAAAAAAAAAAAAATTACACAAGCTTTACACAAGCTGAAAAAATGTAAAAAATGTATTTATTTTTTCTTTAAAAATTGACACCCTTAAAAAGCAATAAACACAAGGATAAACCTTAAATTTCATCTTATTTGGGATCCTCTACATAGCAAAACTTAGGTATATTTTCTCATGTGCCTGGCGCAAGAAATTTGCAGCAGCATTCCCCTCAATGAATAGTTTCAATTATCAAGAAACACAAGTAATATGAACATGTCATAATTGACAACACTAGAAATTTCGTAAACCATGCTACTTTTCCCCTAAATTGATGCTGATTCAGCACATCACGGTAAATTGCATAGTATCTAGGCAACGAAAATCAATTTAACTCCTCGAAGCAAGTTAAATAAAATCTTCCTACCTTTATATTCATTGAGGAAGAGATCACGAGCTCCCCAAGCAGACAAACGAAGAATCACAGGACCACTAAGCCCCCAATGTGTAATTAGCATAGGCCCGACCTAGGAAAAAAAGATTTGCATTATAAAGAAACTTTGTTAACAAAATAAGACAAAGAAGTAAAACAAATTAATGCGTACCTGTGTATACTCGGGTTGATTCTTACAAATATTTTCTAGTTTCAACTTGGCTTTAACTTTCGGTAATGTGATCTGTTTATCATAAAGAAAAGACAGAGCAACAGTGTTCAACTACATGTAATTAAAACTCAAGATTGAATTTTGACGCCAATAGAAGAGATGGTAGAGAGGATTCAAGTAATACCAACGAATGACTGACATAGGCAGTTTCATCTTGAACTAGCTCCCCCTCACCAACCACTTTAATTGAAGGACAGTGGCGGCATTCAAAACCATCTTCATAAAATCAGTGATAAATTACACCAAAATCCGTAAAGTTGGGGTGTAGCTTTATGTTGGTTAACATTTTTATAAAACCCTAAAATTAGAGCGATGGTATTGTTTCGTATCACTTGGGTCCTCTAATTGTTGGCCTTCAAAGTGATATTTATTGCTTAACCATTGTTTAAAAATAGCCACTAAGAAGGGCCATGTGACCTTAATTTGAAAGTTGCATAATTCTACGTTCCAAAAAAATGTTCACTTCGCCTATAAAATGCATTCCAATATCAAAGCCTTAAATAATTTCACATTGGCCCGTAATTTTGTTATCAACTACTTCCCAAAGAGAAGAACGAAGGAGCAAGGGTAGCATCTCCTCTCCATAAGTTTTAAGGATCACGAACAGGATTTGCAAGTATAACCAAAGTGGAATAGTGAAGCTTTTAAACTTGGGTAAAAATTTAAAGAATATTTATATTATCTAAGCTAGCAATCTGATATCAGGTTTAATCAAAAAACCACAATAACAGAAGCAAAGATTTATAGATGAAACAACAATTCTCTACGGGGCCAACCTGCATAAAAAACAAACCATATAAAAAATAAATTTTGCCTCTTTGAAATCAATTAATAGATTCCAAATTGTAATATTTGCAACCGAAACATATGCAAACGAACAAAAATTCACGACCCGGACCGAGACTTGGAGTTAACCATGATAGGAACAAACGATCGGACGGTAGGATTTAAATTTTAGATATTCATTCTCTAGAAATATCATTTTACAAATGAAAGAATCATTAATCAAATTAATTTAAAGTAATATATTTAAAATTACCTCATTACTGGTTGTTTGCATCTTCTAAAAACATTCTCCCGTCTATCATTCATCTTTTAATTACTTAATTAACCTGAAAAGTTATTTTAAAACAACTGTGTGCTAAACAAGTCGGTGAATAATCATACTCTTAAACTATAACAAAATAAGAAAAAAAAATTAAAATGCATGTCAGTTAAACTTTTAATAAATCAATAAATTAATTATTAAGTTATTCAATGAATTACTATATCAATATCATACAAATATCATTTTATATATGTACAACTATTACAAGAGCTCCGTCAAAAAATTATAGCACTTAAGGTACTTCAATATCAATATTCTTTTTCACATACGTGCACGGGTACCTTAGTATTCCCCCGCTAGTACCATCAAAAGACAACTTCATCATAGTTAAATATGCACATACAAATATTCTATCAAAACTATCATTTACAAAAAAATATATTTCATTCTCATTTACATAGCAAACAATATATTTATAAATCATTTAAATAATACCATGCACGATATCATTCATAGAATATGAATAAAAATTCACTAGAAATCAAAATCATAAGTTTGCAATAGTTTCAATATAGCTAATGATGGTATTAATAAATGCATTTGGTTTAAAAGCAAAACATCACCATAATATAAAAACATGAATACTCACCTCCATAATAGATGTTTTGTTTGCTCTTATATTAATTCTATCAAATTATCACTCCTAAAATATTCAATTATCAGTTAATTGTAATTTAATTATCGATTATTGTTGTATTGCACTATGTAAACTAATATTTAAATATTTTAAACTTTAAATTCATTTTTGTAATCAAAATTAATATTAAATATTATCAATTAACATAAAATTTATTTAAAATCAAAACTCTAACATTTCTTTTGTACCTGAATCAAGTTCACTTAAGTTTAACTTTTAAATAATAAACACATATATAATATGTATAATATTAACTTAAATAAATAACTTATCCATATTCATGCCTGAGAACTATACGCGAGCCGCCTTTCTCCATCGAGCACGATGATCTATTCTCAGGCTATGGCTCGGCTCGGCTCGGCTCGGTTCAAACGCTGGAAATCTCTTCTTTACGCGATCCACACAAGTCTCTCGGCCAACAACACTACGCTCTTCCCTTTCTTCTTTTGCTCAAACATCTAGGTTCGAGCGTTGTCGTGCGCATAAAGTTCTCCCGCACTCTCCTCCACCACTGCTTGACAGAGACTTTGGATCTTCAATGCGAGATCTGGATCGCACGCTGTTGACCTCATTTTTAGTGAGGTCTTAGTCTCCTACTCCCAGAACCCATAATCTAGCCTTAGGAGTTCCTTGTTGACCATCCTAGCAGACTAGTAATGGAGCCTACCTCCCGTAGAAATTCGATCCACTTCTTGACTCATTTTTTTTTGCGAAGAACTCGCATGAGTGGTTCCAAGCACTCGACTCGTAGTTGTAAGGCTAGAGACTAACATGTAGAGGGCCCAAAAATAAGTTCCTACAGGATCGTACGACCCTAGGTGAACCCTCGGTGACTCAGCAACACACTCGCTGCACCACACACGATTTTAACTTAAATCGACTTGCCAGTCAGCGAACTCGTCTGGATGACCCCGAATGACGAAACGGACCGCACCGACGCGTCCGGAACGTCAACTTTAGCTAGAAAGGACACAACACCCATATCATTTTGGTTTCGCGCGTGAGCAACTAGCACGGATATCGATGCACGTTTTTTTTAATTAGCGGGCGCGGGCCCGGGCTCAACCTAAGTTCAACTCGGGTTCGATTTGGGCTAGACTCGGGCTGAACAAGGGTTAAACAATTTTGAATTTCAAATTTTCAAATTTTAAATAGAAATTTAATCTCATTTTAATTGAAAGTTAAAGACATTCCTTTTGAATTTGTTTCATCAACGGAAACTAATTAAGCCCCGCCAAAGTTTTAGCATAACGGCTTCTTCGATTAAATTCGGCCCCGCTCCTGTTCTAAAAGGGGAATGCTGGCTTCTTCCTTGGGCGCTCGGCACGATCAACACCCTATTCCTTCTCACGCTCGATCCCGTACCCCGCCTCCTTCACAGACCGAAATCCTCTGCTCGCTCCTGTTCCCGTCTACTTCTCTCTCGCGCGACCCAAGACTTCTTCCTCGGGTCTTCTCTGCGTCGAAGACTCTCCCGTTCGACTCCTTCCTCCTCACTGCATTGCATCAGACGTCTCCTGCCGCCGAACGGACTAAGCCGCTCGTCTCCTTCTCCCGATTGAAACCCCGCTCCACTCTTCCTTCTCACGCTGAACAGCCGCTCAACGCTGCTCCTCCCTGAACCGAAGGTCGTGCTCCCTCGATCCCACTCCTCCTCCGCTCGCACGCTCTCCTCTGCGACTCGACGCTGCGAACCGAGCTCCTGTCTCGCGCTCGCCTCAGCTCCTTTGATCGGTACAGAAGAAACCCAGCTCCCTCTTTCTCTCTCGATCGCAGCTCTAACCGAAGCTCCCCGAAGCCCGCTCCTGCTGCGCCTTCTCTCGCGCGACGAGAAGTGTTCGTCCAGCAGCCCTGACCGTTCCCTTCACATACGGCAAACCTCCCTACTCGATTCTCTCCCGGCCTCCACCGAAGAGTTTTAAGAAGGTGAACTCTAAACCATTTTTTTTATCGAATCGCAAACAATGGTCCCTTTTGTTTGTCTCGAATGTGTGGATTATGTGATTTAAGATTGAATGTCTACTTGATTTATTTCTAGATTTATGAAAGATCTTAGCTCTTCATTAGAGTTACTGTTTGGAGCCATAAAATTTTGTATCTCTGAAATGTGCTTAGAATTTTGTAAAGCATGCTTTGCTAGGTTCTTGAAAAGTAAATTATGTCAATTTGGAATGCCTTATGATTGGTTGTTTCAGTAAGTTTATCATCCGTGGCGCTTTATCTTGTATGTCTTGATTATCCACTGTTCTTTTAATTGCATTAGCCTTGTTTACTTGTTTTTATCTAGGAATCATCTGATATGCTAGTATTACAATGATCTTGTGTGAACATGGGGAAATGGAATCGTTCTTCATTAAATTCAAGATAATGCATAATAGATAATGCTTAATAGTTGTTAAAATCGTGACCATGAATTATTGGATGTGAATTTTTCCCAATTGAGTCTTTTCTCTAATATTATTTCAATATTCTTTACTAGAACTTGTTGATTTTTTTTTTTAGAAGGATTCACATACGCGCCACATTATTCTCATGGATTTACATTTCTAACACCTTAAGTTTTCATCCCTCTACATACACATCTTTGTGCACGCGCGCTAGAAGTCGTATCGATGTTGTTTTGACATGATACGAAATATTTGGGTGGTAAAAATGTAAGAATTAAAGTCTAGTTTGGAGATATGTTAACACAAAGGGATGGTGGGATATGCGTGCAAATTTTTATTCGATTCTTCTTGGTCGGTTGTTCGGTATTATCGTTGTTTTGAAGAAGGATTGGGGTGTCATTCTAGCTGTTTTTCTTTTTTTTGCCTCGACTCTTTCATCATTTGGACAATATACATTGCTGGTTTCGGAGGCTTTATATGCCACTCGGGTGTTGATTCAGCTACTGTTTTTGGGGGCATTGTGCCCCATTTAAATGCTGATTTTGAGGGACTTTACTTGTTGTTTTTAATGTTGTTTGGAGGGTAATTAAATGATATTTTGGGGACTGTTTTGGGCTGATTTCGCTGCAATCTAGGAGACTGTAAACTTCTTTTCTTGGGCTCTTTTCTTAAACTTCTTTTCTTGAGCTAATTACACACTGTTTGGGCATCGTTTTGGGTTGCGTTTGTTGGCTGATTTTGAGAGGTTTTGGACACTGTTTTGAGGGGAGTTTAAGGGCTGTTTTGGGGTGTTTTGTGGGCTGGTTTTGGAGCAGGTTGGATACTATTTTGGGTATTTCTAACACTGCTTTGTGTTTTTGCCCCTCACCCCTTTTTGCTT